TATATATATGTCAGGGTCAAGGCTGGCACTCTTGAGCAAGGGTCAAATGAGTGCTAGAAGAGAGGAGACTTCAAGATATATCAGGGTGCGTACGAAACCAATCCTTTGCAGAAGTAATAATGCATGTGTACTTTGGCAATGAAAAACGATTCATTATCAGCCTGGAGCCATTTTTCATCCAAAAGAAAGAGCACCGTGATCCATCCCGTGCTGATCAAACTCGTCCCTTATCACTTTCCATCCGTGCCCGGGGATGCTCGACTTTACAGAGTGTTCTTTCATTAAAGTGAGATGAAAAGAAAAGGGAAGAAGAAATATCTGTGTCAATTGACCGGATTATCGGATCAGACGTTGACTCGCCGTGGACCGGCGCAGACGTCGGCAGTGCTCGAGCTCCTGTGCCCTTTTTTAAAAAAAAAAACAAAACATTGATTATACCGTAGCACATGGCAGTGCAATATGGTTTGACTTGTATCATGTATTCTGGTATGATTTGCAGGGTATAGTGATGTATCGTTCAGTTATGTGGACAGTAATCCCTCGTTTATCGCGGTTAATGGGGACCGAACCCACCCGCGATAAATGAAAATCCACGAAGTAACGACCCCTCCCCCATGTTGGCACATGAACATGTGTATGAGTATACAAAATATTTATGAGGCCAAATTTAATGGTATCCATGCATGTAGAAGTAAATTTAGTCGTAATTAACATGACTTAATGCTGTATCCTAATAGATTGAAACGTGTATAAGTTAGGTTAGTGTATGAATAACAAAATACAGCAAACATATACATGTAGGACTGTATATGTTGCTCGATGTGACTCGCTGTAGTTTTGCTGACTTTCGCTGCTTCTCGCGGACTGTTTGTGGACTGTTTGCGGACTTAATGTATTTATTTATTGATTTACGAATATGTTTGAAAAAACCTGCGATGCGCCAAAGCCGCGATAAACGAACCGCGAAATAGCGAGGGATCACTGAACAGGAGTTTACTATGTTAGCGTATAGCGTAGCTTTCCGTAGTGGGGGTTGAATAGTATTGTTGGGCTGCAGAGTATGTTGTACGGTGCGGTATGGTGCTGTGCGCCGCTCAGTTTAGCAAAGTCTACGATATCGTAGTCACGTGCGGTGTCGTACAATGTAGTTTGGAGTCGCGTTACGGTCCCCTGTCTGTGGCGTACAGTGTGTTGCAGGTTTGCCGCTGACCGAATTGGGGC